TGTTAGTCTCTAAGGCTACGTCTACACTGCGGAGCTATTTCAGGATAGTGGAAATATTCTGAAATAGCTATTCTGCATCCTTAAAGCAGCCCATTATTTCAAAATAGATTTCAAAATAATGGGTGCGCTATCCTGGCATCCCTGTAACCTTCATTCCACGAGGGTTAAGGAACTATTTGGAACAGCGCTTCATTTCAAAATTACTTTGAAATAAGCAACACAATTTGTGTAGTGCAAATGGCATAGCTTATTTCAAGGTAAGGGTACAGTGTAGATGCACCCTAAAATGCTACAGGACCATTGTTGTTTAAGTTTTTTTAGTTACAGAGTAACACAGCTACCCCTCTGAGTGTATGTCTACACTACAGTGCTATTTCTAATTAACTTAATTCAAAATAGTTAATTCGAATTAAGCTAATCTATACACAAAAACTATTTTGAAATAAAACTATTTCAAAATAGCATTTCGCTATTTCAAAATAGTGCATCCACACTGAGTGGACTCTGAACCGAAGTGAAGGCTGGCCGGAACCAGTGGCGGCAGGGCAGCAGGTTAGGACTTAGTGTGTGAGGCTGCTGCCTGAGGCTAACTGAGCTCCGTGCTTACAGGCACCCTACCCCCACCCCGGACAGACAATTCTCAGGGTTCCCCACTTGCTTGTCTACCTCGATGAGGGACAGCAAAGCAGTCCTGTCTTGGAGTGCCCGAGTGCCCGAACTCGGGACATCGCAGCACTCGGCCACTTGGAGCCAGAGCTGCCCCTGGGCATGCTGGTGCATCTCATGGGGTCGTTGCCATCAGCCCGACTGCACTTGCTGCAGGCTGTCATCCGGGGGGCTCATCGGGGAGGCTGTCAGGATCCAGGAGGCCCTGAGGAAGAGCATCCACCCCGAGGAGCCCTCAGAGCCTCCCCGGTCCTCTCCACCGGGGGCTCGTGCCCCATTCCTCCCTCATGTCCTTCCACTTACTCCTCCCTGGCCCCCCTTCCTGATGTCAAATAAAAGACACATATGTTCAAAAATAGAAACTGGGTTTATTGAACAAAACTGGGGGGTGGCTGGACTTCTGGGACCTCTGGGGAGACTGGGAAAAGGAGGTGGGAGAGAGGAAGAGAGAGAATGGAGAGGGGAGGGGGAAACCTGGGAGGAGGAAGCTGGAAGGGGAAAGCAAGGGGAAGAAGGGGAAATGGGAAGCTCAGGGCTCAAGGTGGGGGTCTTGCCGGACCAACCTGACTTTCATGCAAACCTGCTCCTGGATTCGTATGTGGCCTTTGGTGGCCAGGCTGGCGCCATAGATGGCTGTGTTCCTCCGTCTAGGGCTGAGATCATGGAGTTGGGGGCATCCCCCAAACCTGAATAAGGTCCATGATCTCCACCCTGTACCAGGACGGCACTCGCCTTCTCCAGCCCCTTTCAGGTTCCTGGGAGCTGGCAGACTGCTCCTGGGGAGCGGTGGAGGGCTGGCTGCCAGTGGCTTGTTGGCTCACATTTTGGGGTCACTTTGTCAGGGGCCCCGGTGGCTACTGCTGGCTCTGGGCTGGCCGGCTTGGAGCTGGCACAGGCACTGTGGCCAGGGGCTATCCCTTTAATGGCTCCCGGGGGTAGTGGCCACCATGGCTCCCTGAGAAGGGCTGGAGGCCCCTTATTTCGAATTAAGTGTCTACACAGCACTTAATTCGAAATAGCTATTTCAAATTTTGTGTAACTCCTCGTAGAATCAGGTTTACCAAATTCGAAATAAGTGCTCCACTGTTTCGAATTTATTTCGAAATAGCGGCTTGGCTGTGTAGACGCTATTAAAGTTAATTTGAAATAACAGCTGTTATTTCAAATTAATTTTGTAGTGTAGACATACCCTGAGACTTTGGAGCACATGTATTATCATCCTTTCTAACAGACAGATGCATGTTTCAAAGATCTTGCAAATAAGGTTTCATCCTACAAAACAGCTAGCATCACACCTAGTACTTCTGACTCACAAAAGCCAGAACTCTACCAGATAGCAAAGATCTGGCCTTAATGCAATACAGTATGCCAGGATTTACCAGTTTACAGTAACACAGGGTTTTTTAAAAAAATCATTACAATCAGAATTTTAGATATCTGCAACACCCAAAAAAATTCTGTTAAAAGGATCTTTTTCTTTTGTGCCTTAAGCCATTAACATCTATGTAACCTTTGTTTGAAATGTAACCATGCAAATGTTCTGGTAGACCTTCCCCACATGCAGCCTGCTTCAGGTCCATTCCAAGGGAACTCTTATGGTACTAGAAGAAGCCCCCACCCCTTTAACTGCCTAAGATAACATCTATAGAACAAATTTACCAGAGGCTCTAGCTTGCACTGTTCCCAAGGATACATATAATGACTAATGACTTTGCCCTGTGACCAGGTCATTATGCATGTTTCCCCCTTCCTGGGAATCAAAGTCTTTCTTTCATAGTCTTCCAATTCATTGCCCTCTGATGCCAGTTCCTTAGTAACTGGGCCCACCCTCTATTCCAGCCCGGAACTCTATTGTCAGGAGCCAATGTCTAGTCCCTCCTCAACTTTACTCCCTTTCCCTGGGCCCCTTCCGTGCCCTTCTGGCTCTCCCCACTCCTCTGGGATTGACAAAACAAACTCCCCTCTTTCAGAAAATAACTGTAGGCTACTGCCTTTGCAGTCCCAACCACACTTCCAAGGAATGACTGCAAACTACTTGCCTACAGCCCCCTCTCAGTTGCCAGCTTCCTGGCTTTATAAACTGGCTCAGCTGGATTTCATCCGTCAGTTAGGCCTTAGTACGCTATGACTTTCCTCCAGAGGCAACCTATAGGTTAAAAGGCCTAATTTACCCTTTTAGGCCTTGCATGGGGAGGACACCTCATTACACCCACATAAACATGTTTAGATGTTCGTTCACCCAGGTCTCACATGTCTAAAGCTACATGTATTCTATGAACTGGGGGCGAGACTTCCCTGCTTGCATACACATAGTTGCACTAGCTCTCATCAAGCTAGCACAAATATAAACAACATTTAGGAGTTTTCCCTTATGTAAGAATACAAAATAGTTCTCTGCCTTATCACATTTTGCAACAATTACTCTTGAGAGTACTGCTTAAGAAGTAATTCTAAGCTTGAAAGTTCTATGGCTATTTAGTACAAGTCCAGAATTGTAATGAGCTCAGAAACAAACACTGTTAATGAAATATTTTTAATACATGCCACTTATAAGATAAACAGAACTCATTGTTTTGTCAAAGGCATTCAATCCCAAATATTCTACTTGGTGTTTTCAAAACTTACCCCGTGTTTTAAATCTTATATGATCCTATTCCATGAAACCTATTTTCTGATAAAACTACCGAGATGTGGAGCATTGGTAATTATTAGGTTTTAAATAATTAAGAATTATGCACCATATCCTTTGTAACAGTTTTGTTTTTGTAATATTTGATTTTGAATTATTCAAACGGTTTTTAAGAGAAGAAGCCTGTAAAAATCCTTCCAGAGATCCAAACAGTAGTCTATAAATATTATAGATAGATATCTCTTCCTTTAGAGGCATTTTGAGGAGATTTGTATGCTAGCTGTGGGGAACTCTGCTACTCACTTAATTCTTTTGAGGGTTAGAAATAAAATCTATAGCTTCTGTGTTGTGCAGAAAATGTCCAGTTTTCCTTTGTGCACACATGTTCACAGAGACTTGCTTTAGGCTCAGAGAAAAAAAAAATCTTAACAGCAGGCTATTACTTGGTTATAAATATCCTGATTTAAGAACCTTACAAAGTGAAGGATGAGAGTGATGCAGTCAAACAAAGCTCTAATTAATTTTAGAAAATTATTTTCCTACAGGCAAAAACATCTTGCTGATATTACCTTGATTGCTTTGGTATTTTTGTTTATGTAGCAGAGTGCTGAAATGAGCAGCTAAAAAACTAGGTTGCAAAAATGAGAGAAGAAATATAGCTATAGTCTTTCAAAAGCAGAAAAAAAACCCAAGCTCTGATGTAGTATACGATTTAAAGATAATCAGATTAAGTTAACGACTCCATTCCAGCTTCCAGAGATTACTACCATTTGCCCAGAGCATTCCTAATAAACAATGGGCCTGATGCAAAACCCACTGAAGTCAGTCTTTTCATTGATTTCAGCGGTTATTTGATGAGATGCAATATGCATCAAGCATCTTTCAAAAGTCATGCCAATCAAATGCTGACAAATTCTAATTGATACCAATATAAAAATCACGGAGTGGCTGAAGGCATCCAATATTAGCAAATGTTCATGTTCACAATGTGTTTTAATTGCTTTGCTGTTAAAAATCCATGATGACTATTGTCATCTATACTTTTAAAACCATTTTTTTCAGCACAAACCAAATATTGGACCTGTGCTTTTAGATTTCAATGTGTTTTAATTGCTTTGTTGTTAAAAATCCATGATGACTATTGGCATCTATCCTTTTAAAACCGTTTTTTTCAGCACAAGCCAAATATTGGACCTGTGCTTTTAGATTCTTTGTATTAAGACAAAAAAATGTTTGAGTGAAAATATGGAATAATGAAATCAGACTAGACAGAGTATTATTCCTGTTTAAGGAATTAATCCCACAACATTTAAACATTGTTGCTGCATAATGTTTCCAGGGAACCTTTTTAAAAAAAAAAAAAAAAAGTTTCCCTGTGTTTCCGGGGAACCTTTTTTAAAAAAAAAAGTTTCCCTGCTCTCACATATATGTCTAATCTATCATCAAAATATCATGATGCTATGTTGTTCCATATTTGAGCTTCTCTGGATGCAGTATGTGTGACACAGAGACTGACTACTAAGTAAATTGATTAGAGAAGGCAGGATAAAAGGGAGAGAGCATTTGCCAAAAGGAATGCTTTGGACAATGAGCACCATTTTCTTCTTTGGGTCCAGACAGAAGTAGAAGTGGGAAGGGAGACACAGTGAGCCCCACAGTAACACGTTGGGCACAGATATGCTAACTACTTGTTTCACTTGACAGTTAGCCCCACAGTAGCACATTGGGCACAGATATGCTAACTACTTGTTTCAATTTCAGCATTTGAATCAGAGGCTTTCTTTAGATAGGTTGCCTGTTGAGTCCACCTCTACAAGGGAGTGATGATTTCTTGGGATTGTGTTACTCCTGAAAAATACCATGTTCAAAGGTTCTTTAGTGCAGTTTCTCAGAACAAAACCAAATCGTCACTTCTCATTTTTGAAAAACTTTGCCTTCCTACCCCCAAAAGTAAAAGATATATTGGCTGTGTAAAAAAAATACAGAGTGATGTTATTTCAGGGAGAATAGGAGTCCTAGTAATGAGGAAACTAAAGGGAGAAGAGTAAATTTGTAAGGCAGATGATTTTAAGATCAGCAGTGATTTATGGAGGAAATTCCAGACTGATTGGCCCATGAGTGAAGGAGTGGATCCTCTACCGGCCAAACATGAAAATGTAGAGATGTCATGGAAGATTTGGGCTCCGAGTACTGGAAGGTATCCTCAACCCTAGCTCCATGCACCATGCAACGCACCTTCAGAGTGGACAGTCCTGAGCAGTGAACAAGAAGTAGTAAGACATCAAAAATGTGCTGATTCAGCACATCCTTTAGTATCATCACTGGTGACCTTCCTATGGAGTTATGCATAAGCTGCTGTCATCTGCATGAAGCCCGATGAGGACAATGGTGTAAACATAATTTTAGAGGATAAGACTGAACCCCAACCCAAATCATAGCAGCCCCTGCTAGTTTACAGGATCCAGTTTGGTCCTCCCCCGTACTAGAGGGGATAACTTCAGCATACTTGGTAGATGAAAGTTATTGCATTATTAAGCACAATATAATACGGTAGATGAAAGTTAATAAGTGTTATTGCATTATTAAGCACAATATAATAATATTAGAGAAAATATTACTGCCATGACCATAGCAAATATAAACTCAGTTACATGTTTATTTTGAATCTCCAGATATCTGTTCTCATTTGCAAGTTTCAGTGCACTGATCATTTTTGGCGGATGCTGCTTTAATGAAAAGAAGGGAGAGTTTTCCTTGCTAATTAAATTATATACATAAAGCCATTTTATAATATTCATAGTTTGATTTTTCAAGTCAGGTTTTAAAGTATTTTTGTTTGTCACAACAGAAATTACATTATCAGAAAAATTATAATTATTGTAATGAGATCTGAAATCTGGATTTAAGATATGCTACCATGGTATGATTTGTAATTTGAGGATACAAATTAGGTATTGGAGGACTAGGTGGGTAAGAAAAATGACTTATTAGTTTGAAACAAACATATAGTTTTTAGGGAAAAAACAATTTTATGAGGAGGGTGGAATGAGTTACCTAGGGAGGTGCTGGAATCTCTGTCCTTGGAGGTTTTCAAGTCCCGGCTTGACAAAGCCCTGGCTGGGATGATTTAGTTAGGGTTGGTCCTGCTTTTAGCAAGAGGTTAGACTCAAAGACCTCCAGGGGTCTCTTCCAATCCTTTGATTCTATGATATGTCTGACCTTTATAAAAGATGTTGAATCCATACATGGAATAATCATTATTTAATAAGGTGGCCTTAATGTGGTGGTATTCTTCTAGTATGCATGTAATTCTTACAAACACGTGGAAAGGTTTATTGGTCAGTAATGTAAGTTACATTAATTTAGTAAATGGATGGTGGTTTGAATTAAAGCAAGAATACTGTGTGTTTCTGTATCCATGCTTTATATACACAAAGGCTGAAAAATATTCCTGGTCTTTTTATTAATATTGAGTTACTGTGCTTTAGTGAAGGCAGAGAGAGGCACATATGGAAGCAACAGAGCTGTGCACTTTACTGGTAATAACCCAGAAGCATAGCCAAAATAATAGCCCATCTAGATATTTATGAAGGTGTGTTGTCAAAATCAGCTTAATCTTTCAAATTTCATGATACTTTATTGGATTGAAATTGCTTAAAAAGAAAAAAGAGTTACACTCCAAAAAATTCTGAACTTACCTGACTCTCTTGGATATGCTATACCAATTGACAGTTTAGGTAGAAAGATCTTGTTTGTCTGGTGCCTTCTATTTCTGGTTAGGCAGGCTGAAAATTTTGTGCAAGACCTTTCTAATGGAACTAGGAAGTGCAGAAGTGTGAGAAACTGGAAAATAATCAGAAGAAAAATGTTAACCTCGAAGATTCATGTGAGTTTGGAGCAAATTTTCACGTAAATTCTTATGTTATCTGAACTAATCCACTAATTTTTAATTTATATACAATATTTTATATGATTTATCAATAAAATATGACATGAAAGGTAGAGATGTGTATTCACACCTCTTGCTTGGTGCATGTTTACCTTTCATTAATTCTTTCATGAGAGTTACACATGTCTCTTAAGAACAGACACGCATTAATTCTTACATGAGATCAAGTATCAGAGGGGTAACAGACACCTCAGTGGCAGCAGATTCTTAGAGCACTGCACATCCACAGATATCTGCCACTCATTTTTGCTAATTTTTAATCTAATTAGATTAATCTAATTTTTAATCTAATTTTGAATCTAGAACCCTGCACATTTGTAGATATCTGCTTGATAGCCACAGGAGTCTGCATCTGTGAATATGAATGCAGATATCTGTTGATCATTTCTGCAGATGTGGCTGCTGATGTAAATTTTGTATCCACGCAGGGCTCTGTAGATACTGTACATTCACTGATTTTTTTTGTAGCTAGTGTTTGTAAAAATGTATTCCATACATGGAAAAGATTAGATTGAACAGTTGATGTACCTCATGGATAATATCTTGATATTAGCCTAGTTTTACAACAGTCTACGTAAAAAGCACAAGCTAAGTAAATACAGACAATGGCTTGTTTACACTGTTCTCTATAATATTATATACTGACACATAAGTATAATATTTATATTCAAATTTACTTATGTTTAATTCTAAGGTTAAAATGAGAAGTAAGCAATGATTCAGTACTAGCATACTGTGACACATTTGTATTTTTCTGATTGTGTAAGCAAGTACTGTGAGGTGAAACTTTGGAGAATATAAGACATATCGGACTCCTAAAAGGGGTACAGTAGAGTGCAAAGGTTAAGAACCATTGTCTTACATGGCAGTTTTTGGATACAGATTATTATAATGGTGCACTGGGTCAATGAGCCTGTCAGTCCTCATGTGACTTATGGTAGGGTGAGCTCTCTGCCATTTGGAACTAGCGGCCTCTCAGAGTGATAATATGTGCAAGCACTTACACAGACTCCCTTCCCTTTATCAGTGGACTCATCTGTGCTCACCTTCCAGGACTGGCTGGATTCCAGCAGAATTTCAAACAGCTCCTGACTCACCAGCCAGGTTTGCAGCTCTTCCCCATCACTCCTCCCTTTCCTCTTTCTCACTGTAGGGGTCTTCATTTCAGGCTGATGTGAAAATTCTAGCTGTGGGCAGAAGGTCATAGAATCATAGAATACTAGGACTGGAAGGGACCTCGAGAGGTCATCGAGTCCAGTCCCCTGCCCTCATGGCAGGACCAAATACTGTCTAGACCATCCCTGATAGATATTTATCTAACCTACTCTTAAATATCTCCAGAGATAGAGATTCCACAACCTCCCTGGGCAATTTATTCCAGTGTCTGACTACCCTGACAGGAACTTTTTCGAAGGCTGTGTCTAAACTGGGCCACTTATTCCGGAAAAGCAGCCGCTTTTCCAGAATAAGCTGCGAGCTGTCTACACTGGCCCCTTGAATTTCCGGAAAAGCACTGACGATCTACTGTAAAATTGTCAGTGTTTTTCCGGAAAAACTATGCTGCTCCCGCTCGGGCAAAAGTCCTTTTCCGAAAAAACTGTTCCGGAAAAGGGCCAGTGTAGGCAGCCCAGTAGTCTTTTCCGCAAAAAAGCCCCGATCGCCAAAATGACAATCGGGGCTTTTTTCCGGAAAAGCGCGTCTACATTGGCCACGGACGCTTTTCTGGAAAAAGGGCTTTTCCGGAAAAGCATCCTGCCAATGTAGACA